CTGGCGGGGCAGAAGCGGTTCCGTGACGACGACCTGAGCGCCCTCCTCGCCCGCACGGAGCCACTTCTGGCATCACGACACGACCGCCACCACGCCGCGGTGCCGCCGGTACTCTCCGTGCTGCCGCTCCCCCGCGACTCGGCGCGGACAGTGCAGTGGCATCGCAACGGACAGCTGGCGGTGGTGGGCGGCAACCATCACGTGTACCTCTTTCACGCCTCGGGCCGCTTTGTGGAGCAGTTGTCAAAAACGGACGTGGAGAAGCGGGTGGAGCAGACGGCGCTCGACGCCGCGGGCGAGGATGTTTTTGTCGTGGGGCATCAATGCTACACGCCAGACCTGCTGGTGCTGTCCACGGAGAAGATCATCCCCCTAAAGTTCCTCACTACCCGTGATTCAGCACCGTACCGCAATGGTCGCCGCGACAATGGCAAACAGGATTTCTACATCACAAAAGTCGTTGTGCCGACGGACACCTGTGCCGCAAGGATGGTGGGAATTGCGAGCGGGTCAACTGTAACGATTGGGTCACTGTCGTCCGGTAGCATCACCCACAGCATTGAACTGAGCGACCCGGTGATGGATGTCGCCTTCTCCAGTGGCCCGCACGAGTTGACAGTTGCCACACGCAACAAACTTACAGTGTACGACTTACGCAAAAGTGCCAGGTTTTTGCGTGAGACATGCGATGATGGCACGGTGGATGTCACGACGTTCGCCACTTCTGATCGCGCCTTTGCAGTGGGCTCCGCCAGCGGTGTTGTTAGCGTGTACAGTAAGGGTGCCACGGGGCCAGTAAAGACGCTCAAGAACCTCACAACAAGCATAAACCGACTGGCGTTTGGAGAACGCAGCAATGGCGATGCCGTCCTGGCGTACTCCACCAGGGGCCAAAAGGGTGGCTTTCGCTTGGCTGTGTTGCCGGAATGCCGTGTGGTGCCGTCGTTCCCGGCCGTCGCGCAGCGGCATCAGTTCATTCAAAGCTTGGCGATCGCCCCGACGATACCGGTACTGTCCATCGGTGAAAAACAGAAGGTGACCAACTACGCCTTGTGATGGGTGGGAAGAGCCGGGTGAGATGTGGCAGGCTGTCTGCCTGAAAAGAGAAGAAGAGAATGAGAAAATGAGAAAAAAAAATGAAAGAGGAACTGCGTTTAAGCTTCGTGGTAAAGCCACAGCGGCAAGTTGAGAGGTTCGAATGGAGTAACTTGGTTTTTTTTTTTCTCCCTGAGTTTGCCTTTATTCGCGCTCTCGTTTGAGGCGCAATTTCTTGAAACATTGGCGGTGGACTTTCTCTCCTCTTCCTTTTATTCTCTGTCTGTGGGATGCGTCATGTAGTGTGGCATGTCCCCGTTGTCGCCTCTCGGAGCACTTTCTGCCTGATTGGACAACTCTTTTGTGGACGACCATAGGCATATATATATATATATATATATATATATATATATATAGATAGACAGATATATTTGTTTAATTATTTTTACTTATTTCTGAAACAGCGGAGCGCTGCACCGGTGCTCGGTATGGCCGGCAGAAAGCAAAGGAAGAGGAAGCTTTTAGCGGGGGCGTCCATTCGCACCACGCTGAACCTCGAGACCGTCCTTCCCGTCCTGTATGTCGACGATATGGAGGAGGTGCGAGCCAAGTACAAACCTTTTGGTGTCATTGAGGACTACCACTCTGACGATAACGACGCGGATGGCGAAAGCGCTGATGCAAAGCTGCATGCTGCTCTACAGCGAACGAGAAAACGAGGCCGTGTGTCTTCAGCGGTGACCACCATAGACCCTGTTGTGAGCGGAGATTTACCAACACCTCGCGTGGGATGGGCGAAGACGGCGCTGCGCGAGGACACACCATACAGCTTGCTTCAGCGCCGCGATCTCTTCGAGCGATGCTTCTATGTAATGGATCACGATGACTACGTGTGGTGCCACGAAAACGCCGTCCCAAGTGCCTTCTTTGTGGAGGTCGTCACACATCTGGAGAGGGCCTACGCCAAGCAACTTATCACGTTTGCCAGCGACATACAGGCAACGGCAGGGGCGGTGAATAGCACTACCAAGAACAAGAATGACAATGACCAAGTTCAGGAGGGGCACGTTGCTGAAATATGCGGTGTGTGCGCGCGGCCAGAGCTTGCTGGCGAGGAGGAGCACTTCCTTCACTGCCGGAGGTGTGGGTGCCTGGCACATGTGCGCTGTTGGTTTCTGGATCGACTCCCGCCACACGCAGACGACTGGCGCTGCCCCAGCTGCGCCGTTGCGCGGCGTGAGAGGGGCGTGGGGCACTGTCACTTGTGTGGGCGCCGCGGAGGCGTGATGCTGCCGTACATCTCGAGCTCTGACTGGAAACAGCAAAAGGTTGAGGTATCATCCCTCTTTTGTCACATTGTTTGCTGTCTCGCCTTTGAGGAGTTGGCACTTGACGTGAAACACCGCGTTGTTCATCCGGCGAGGCGCGCCAAAAAGGCTGGACAGCTGGGTCACTGTGCGTTCTGCCACGGCCACTGCTCAGGGGCGCGCGGGCGGTGCCACCACCCACGCTGCTTTGAGGTGATGCACCCTGTATGCGCACAGCAGGCAGGTACGATTGAGTGCTACCGCTCTCCACAGGATACAGTTGGCAGCGGGCCGTGGGAGGGGTGCCGCTTGTACTGCCGCGCGCACTTTCGAGGGGTAGTGGGAAGCGAGTCGGAATCTGCACGAGTTGGTGAGTCTGCAGAGGCGCAGGCCCTTTGCGATGTGACACTCGCGCTGCTGGATAGTAGCACGGAGCCGTCGCGGAAGGTTCGCCGGTCCGCCACCAGACGTGCGGTTACGCAATTGGACGCTGTGAAAGAGTATTGGAAAATGAAGCGCGCACAAAGACATCGAGAAGGCACTCAGGCTGTTGAGGATATTCAAAAAGGCCGATGCGATTTTCTTGCTGTGCTGTTTCGTCCAGAAGTCATGAAAATCACACCAACAGAGGTGTGCCTTTCACGCTTCGTCTGTCTCATTCCGGAACTGCAGCACCATGTCAACGCTATGGTTGAGGGCCTGCTGCCTATTCCAGATGATGAGTACGACGACGTACAAGAGTATAGAAAGATCCAGAGCCGCACCCGTCACGGGGGCGACACAGTGAAGCTATATGAAAAGATGCAGGTTGTGGAGTCTAGCATCAAGGTGTTCTGTGAGCTGGCTGATCTGTTACACCAACGTGCCGTTGTGCGGCGCGAGTGGGTAGAGACCGAGTTGCAGTTTCTCGACGCAAAGTGCCAATGGGGCAGTTTTGCAAGGTAACGTGTTAATCTGTATATGTGGCGTGCGTATATGTGTTTTGACAGACGGAGAGAATTGCCGTGGCGAATACGGGAGGATACGGGTGAAGGAAAGGGTTGGGTTTTCCGTGAAGTTGTATATGGGTATCCTGTCACTACTGGTGTTTCTCAACCGAAGGGTCTCTTGTGATGTTTTTTTTTTTCGTTTTTTTTTNCTGTCACTACTGGTGTTTCTCAACCGAAGGGTCTCTTGTGATGTTTTTTTTTTTCGTTTTTTTTTTTTTGGTGATTCTTATCACTTTTTGAGCCCCTTAAATGAGAGGTGTGGCATATTCTTTTCTTTTTGGATCTTTGTAGCGCCAGCGGCGACGAAAACGATGCGTGTCCGAACATATCATACACACACCATCAACCGCAGTAGCCCGCTCCTTGGAGCACTCGTCACCATCAACGCGGCATACTCGCTCTGTTTTGCGCTGCCTGTTGTTGCTGTGTCGCTTGGTAAGAAGTGGAGCAGCGGTATCACCTCCGGCCAGCAGGTGTGGTGCGCCTCCACTGTTGCTCTCTGGTCTGCAGCCGAGATTTTGCGTCTGTACTTTGGTTACAGGAGTAACCTGCAACAGTTTGTGCCAGGCCTCCTGCTGTTTGCATTGCTGACGTTGCTGCCGCAGCTGCCACTCGTAGCTGTCTTCAATTCTATATGGCCGCAGCGTGACTCACTCGACTACGCCTTGAGTATTACATTGATCATAATGCTCCTGTTCGAGTTCCTGTGCTCCGTCAGGCTTGTTGCAACGCTTATGCAGAACAACCGAATAGATTTCTTCGTTTACGGCAGGTATTTAACTCGTGAAGATCACCGCTTTTAGTTGGCATCCCGCTTGCTCGCAGTTATGTTAACCGTCAACCATAGATGTTCCGTGCGCTTCTGCAAGTGAGTGCTTAAGGGCCACACTGCAGATGTGCCTGCTTGTTGCTACAGAGGAATACCAAACAAGCCTCGCCCCCCTCCCCAGAAGAAAAAAAAAGAAAAACAAAGATGCGTATTCTCTGTTTAAAGCAGGGTTTACTTGCTTTAGTTGGACCCTTTTTTCATGGAAAGGTGCATTCCCCTATTGCGGTTGTTTCAGCCAGCAGTGTATTATTATTGCCTGTGTTGTAATCTGCGGTGCGTGCCTTGTCTACTGACACATTATTGGCTTGGTTGTGTCTTGTCTGTTGGCTGTAAAGCACCTTCTCAACTCTCTATCTTTGTTTCTGGATGTCGTTGCTGTCACTGAATCAGCTTCAGGGCGGGTAGACCGGCGATGGACCGCACAGAGGCGCTGCGTGAGTTGTTTGACAAGAGCAGCCCATACGTGAGTGACTGCGAGAATTTCGTTGTGCTAGGCATTCTGCGCGAGCACCCGTTCAACAGAGCCTTCGCCGCCGTCAGCACTGCCGCCGATGTCGCGGTGCGGGCAACGCGCTCACGCATCAAGGCAGCACTGCGCGCGATGGAGGAGTGCAGCCCCGCTGTGTCAGAACTGGAGAGTATCCTTCTATTGCACGAGGCTGAACTGCTTTCGGCCTCGAACACCATAAAGGACCTCCTCGCCTCCCTCATGGAGGCGAAGGAGCAGCTGAAGAAGCAGCATAGCAGGTGGGATGGCTTGTTCTTATTTGCGAAGGAAGAAACGCAATCTCCCACTACTGCAAAGCCATCGCTGCAGTTGCTGCAACATTTGGAAGCCGCACTGGAAACACTCGAAGGGACAGTGGGCCGCTGGCGACTACGCCTTGCACTTTGCAAGGAGGAGCTGGCGTTGTATAAACAGGAGATGTTTGCGTTTGGGCGGGCGGGTGTGCTCTCTTGTTCCGACCCCGCAAAGACGCAAGAGGGTGGCAAGGATAGGCATCTGTCAAGGGATAACAACATTTCTCAGAGTGTCTCGTGTCTACGAAATTCCGAAGAAAGGCCGCGCTCTGCTGTTGCTGTGGTGTCTGTCGTTGACCGCGTCCTTAAGAAGGCGGCGCGGACCGTCACAGCTGCCCCGCTGCATAGTGGGGCGCACGTGTGGTCGCTGATGCGTGGCCATGGTGAAACGGGCCTGCGAGACCTGGCGTCACCTGATAGGGCTGCCCCTCAATTTGTGTACACCGCGGCGGAAGAGGAGCGACTTGCACAAACGAATGCGGCGCTACTGGAGCAGCAGAAGCAGGCGTCTGCGGAGGATGCCAAGGCGGTTGAAGCATCTGTTCGTGAACTCTCGCAGCTGACGTCCCTCATGAATGAGCGGGTTCTGCAGCAGAATGAGCAATTCTCCATTCTTCTTAAGAACACGGAGGCGGCGCAGAGCAATATGCAGAAGGGAGTCGGTGAGGTAGGCAAGTCTCTCACCTATTTTTGGAACTCCACACGTCAGCTTATCGCCTGCCTGTGGCTCAGCACCTTGGTGCTGTTGATCGCCAACTGGGTTATTCGATAAGGACTTTTTGGTGAAGCGGTTTTGGGCACCTGGCGTTGGGATGAGCCACCTTGCAATTGATGGAGTGAGGAGATGAAGGGAAGGAAAGGAATGCGTAGGTTCTCATACAGTCCTTGTCTGATGTTTCGTTTTCTTTGTACGCATCTTATGTTTCTCAATTTCTCCAAGAGTGGAAAGGTGGAGAAACAGGAGGGGGGAGGTACACCCTTCCACTCCAAGAAGAGAGTGATGACAGCGTGTGCCTCGTCCATCATCAACTGCAGCAGCAGTAGCACTGTAAGAGGTTTGGCGGCGGTACTGGGTATTCGGCCACCGTTGCCTTTCCACTTTTTCAAGCGATGGAGATTGCACGACTTCCACACCTCCAAGTGGGCCCGCACCAACCCCTCTGCGCATATAAAGCGGACGCGTCTTGGTCGCAGCTGCATCGACCAGCCAACGATGGACATGGTTTCTGTTAGCCGGTACGGCGGATACACACAACGGGAATCGCTGGCGACGGCGTTTCGTGTGTACCGCAGTGTGGATCAGTCGGAAAAGGCACGGAAGGCCGGACAAGACGCACTGCGTGGGATTCAGCTCAAGGACTTTGACTTTGACGCAGAGGAGGAGCAAGAAGTGGTGGTGGATTTTGCCTGTCTGTACCTAAACGCGTGCGTTCTCTTTGAAGCACCTCCCACGAGTGACATGATGGTGCAGCTTCTGGGTTGCCTCGCAACAAAACTTCACAGCTCGTTTCACTGGGAATGCGTCCTCTGTGCACTCATTGTGTGCCTGCAGCCTGGAGCGGGAGAAGTAACTGCGGCTGGTGCTGCGTTTGTCAGCATGCTTCGCCGCGCGTCGCCAGATGTCATGCCTGAGAGCCTCTCGCGTGACGGTGCGCTCCTCTTGCTTCTAACCATTGCACGTGCCCTCACTCTGTTGCCGCGGACGAATGTGAGCGAGGAGGACCGCCAGCACCTTCTCCACGTGCAACTCAAGGCGATTGAGATGCTGTGCGCCAGATCTGAGGCGCCCCTCTCGCGGGAAGAGTTACTAACTGTGGTGGACGCAGTCTCCTGGCGTCATGCTGTTAGTGAATGCTCATCGGCGAATGTGGAGTGGGTGACGAAGGTGGTGCCGCACTTGCAGCTGAAGAAACACGACTCACTTGAGGCGTTATCAGTGTCGCAGTGCACTCGGCTATTCTGTGCCCTGTGTGTGTTACTGGCGATGCTGCCACCTGAGACGAAAGAGTGGAACCAAGAACGGCAGTGGCAGGTGCTTGACCCAATCGTGCGTCACCTCGACCAGCGTGTCTGTGTACATTCTGTCGCTGATACTGTTTGCGCGCTGGTAGGCGTACAAGCGAACAAGAACGCACGATCAAGATACAGGAAATACCCAACTGCATTACTCGATTACCTCCGCGAGCAGCAACAGCATGTTCAAAAAGAAGCAGACGGTGCTGTTCCTTCCTTACTAAAGGATGACGATAGTCTGGGGGCGCTGAAACATGTGCTCTCGCAGCTGGCGAGCAGCGGGCAGGATGAGTTGGGAGATGCCGCCGAGGCATTGGTGACGGATTTGTGTTCAGCAGTATCGGCGTGAGTCAATCCATACAGATACACATAAGAGGAGAAATCCCTACCTTTTGTTTTATCCGTTTTCTGTGTGTTGTCTATGTCCGTTATCCTTGCACTGCATCACCTCTATTGTTTCTGTGTCTTTTGGTTCTCGTGGTTGCTGTGGCAGTCAAGCAGACACTCCTGCTATCCCGTGTGCGTTCGCATTATACACAACTATCGAATCACCCACACGCACACGCGCGCATAGGAGTTTGTAGACAGAACGGACAGGAGAAGTATCAGGGCGCTTCAACAAAAAAAAAAGGGGGGGAAGGTGAAGAGAAGGAGGCAACGAAGTACGGCTTAGCAGTAACAGTGTGCAACGCCTCAGGAATAAGAGGCGGAAGGCACGGAGTGAGACGAAAACTGAAATACATACACAAAGAAAAAGTGCATTAGGCCCATGTCCACGCATGAAAACTTGGTGGCGGGGGTGCACTGCCTCTGTTACCACCCACAACACGCGTGGGTGTCAGGTATTATCGACGGCTTTGACGGAAAGTACGGCACCGTCAGCATCACCAAGCCAGTGAAGGAGCAGTTGTCAAAGCTCACACAAGAAGACATATTTGTCTGTGACGAGAGCGCCATGGCCGAGGACGTGAATGATCTTCTTAATCTCTCCGTGTTACATGACGGCACACTGCTCAACTGTCTACGCGTCCGCTACTTCCGTGACGTGGTTTACACAAACATTGGTGCCATTGTTGTGGCACTCAATCCATTCAATTTCAAGATACCGTGGTACATGGATGACAAAATGCCGGACTACCTTGCAGAGGGGGAGGCGATTCAGCGTAACCTTCCACACTCCTGGGCGGTAGCACACACGACGTATTACGAAATGCGGCGTGATGGCGGTAACCAGTCCATTCTGGTCTCGGGGGAGTCGGGCGCTGGAAAGACGGAGGCGGCGAAGATTGTCATGAAGTACCTTGCTGCCGTCAGTGCTCTGCAAGCCACAGAGGAAGAGGAGAAGGAGGCGGGTACCTTTGTCGGCCTTCGAATGATGCAGTCAAATCCCATCCTTGAGGCCTTTGGTAACGCGAAGACGGTGCGTAACGACAACAGCTCCCGCTTTGGCAAACTCATGTGCATCAAATTCAATGCCAAGGGGATGCTGACGGGCGCTGAAATCACAAAATACTTGCTGGAGAAGTCCCGTATCATTACATCAGCACTGAATGAGCGCGTGTACCATGCTTTTTATCTCGTTCTGCAGGGACGCGACAGAGAGCGCTACGGCCTTTCGGAACTTTCGACGTACCGCAACGTCATGTCCGGAAAGGTCCCTATTATTGACGACGTGGACGATGCGGAGGAGTACGACACTGTGAATAAGGCAATGGAGATCTGCGGCATTAAACAGGAGGACATGGATTCCGTCTGGCGTGTCGTTGGGGCGGTTCTCAAGCTGCTTAATGTTGAATTCATATCTAGCAGCACTGACACGTGTGAGGTTGACCCCAAGACAAGTCATTACATTACAGAGGCCTCTGGGATGCTGGGTATTTCCGCAGAGGTGCTGCAGAAAGAGTTCACTACCACCACGCTAAAGTTGCGCGAGGGTCCAGTTGTGACGACGCTCACCAAAGTCAAGGCCATCGATGCTAGGGACTCTTTCTGCAAGGCCATCTATGATAATCTTTTCGGCTACCTCGTTAAGGCCATCAACAAGACCATTAACACAATGGAATACACGACCTGGGTGGCATTGCTGGATATATTTGGGTTTGAGGACTTTAAGGTTAACTCCTTTGAGCAGCTGTGCATCAACCTCACCAATGAAACACTCCAGCGGCACTACAACTATTTTATCTTTACACGGGACATGGATGAGTGCCGCGAGGAGGGTATTGACGTAACAGAGATTGCCTTCCCTGATAACAGTGCCTGTGTGGACATGATTGGTGGAAAAGGTGGTATACTGTCTCTCCTTGATGAAGACTGTCTGTTGGCGAAGGCAACCGATCAAAGTTTTCTCGACAAAATATCCGATAGGTTCGCTGGCAAAACACAGTTCTTTGAGCGACCGCGTATTTCCAAGGCACCGTGCTTTCGTGTTGTGCATTACGCTGGTACTGTTACGTATGAAGTTGCTGGTTCCATTGAAAAGAACCGGGATACTTTGAAAGATGCCTTCAAGCTGCTGGTGAGCTCCAGTGAAGACAGTCTCATCAAGACCTTGCTCCCCATGCCAAACCTGGATAACAAGTCCCGCTACACTGTTGGCGGCTTCTTCCGAAGCCAATTGAATGAGCTCATGGAGCTGATCCAAAGTACGAATCCGCACTGGATTCGCTGTATCAAACCGCATCCAGCCAAGAAACCACTGCATTTTGACGGTGTACAGACTCTGACGCAGTTGCGCAGCAGTGGTGTGCTTGGCACAGTGCAGATTCGCAAGGCAGGGTACCCGATCCGAATTCCTACCGCTGATTTTGCGCGCAAGTACAAAGTTATAGTGTTTGGTGAGGCGCTGGATTTCAGCGACGCGGTGGGTGTTTCAAGAGTGATTTTAAAGATAGTGGGATTTGACACACGGAAGGCACAGATGGGAAAGACACGTGTGTTTCTTAAATCAGACGCTTACCAACAGCTTGAGGTGGTCAAGAAGCAGAAGCTGCAGGTTTTCGTCAAGGTGGTGGTGTGTGGATCGTTGGTGTCGCTGGCACGAATGCGCACGGCGGCGCTGCTTCGCTGCCGCTCGATGCGGATTGTGCAAGCTTTCCTGGCGGCGAGAAGCAGCCAACACCTGCACCGCGAGAAGGACTACATATCCCGCAAAGACATGATCATTTCCAACGTCATTCAGCTGCTTGGACTACAGCGAAAGGAGGAAGCGGTGCGAGTGGAGATGCTGGAGGAACGCGATCTGTTTTACGACAACCTTACGGCAAAGCGCAACCGCTTAGTGGAAGATCTGTACGAGGATTGGCTTGCACAAAAGCCGCAACGTGACGCGGCGGCCATAGAAGAATTTATGGCAGCTGAGTGTCGTGCCCGTGACGCGTTGATAAGTGATTCCACGGGGGAACTTCGGCGCACACTCCTCCTCCTCGAGGGGGACTACGACGATGCGCGCAGGCGCGAGGAGGAGCGCGAGGCGGCAGCCCGTGCAGCGGAAGAGAGACGGCGGCTCCAAGAGGAGGAGGCACGGCGTGAGGCGCGGCGATGCGAAGAGGAAGCGGCACGCGCGGAGGCGGCAAGACGCCGGGAAGAGACGCGCCGTCTCGCCATTGCGCTGTGGGATGAGCGCAAGAAGGAGGTGGAGCGGCAGGTGGCGCAGCGCGAGCAGGAGCTGCAGCGCACACGCGACGGCGTGTTTGACGCTATGACGTCCTTCAACACTGCACTTATACTAAAGAAGCAGGAGCGGTTGCTGCGGGCACGAGAGCGTGCACGATACCCGACGCCGCAGTTTCGCCCGTGCGGGGTCGATGCGCTGCGGGACCCCGTCATTGGGTTGGGCGGGCTGCGCGGCAGCATCGTGTCGCCGACGCACCCCGCCTACTGCACCGCACGCTCGTCCTCTCCCACCTTGGGTACGAGCATTAGCAATAACAACTACTACAACAACGGCAGAACTAGCAGCGGCTGTGCCTCCCTGTCTCCTAATGGTAAACTTCCCCGCCATGGCCGCTTCAGCGGCGGCGTTATTACCTCGTATGTTGACCCGCTGCGGAAGAGGGAGCGTCTCGGAAAGGAGCGCATTCAGCCTGACCGCAACGACTCTCTGGAGACTGTGCGTCGACTTCGCTCACTTCAAACGCTGTGCGACAGTGCAATTTCCTTTACGCCCAAGCCTGGTGGGATCAACGACCCGTTGAACCCGTACAGTGGCGACTGGAAGGAGCCGTCAGACGGCGTCGTGACGTTCCCCGACGGTTCATCCTTTAACCTCCAAGATGCTGCCGTTGGCGGCTCGCCATCAATGCCTAATGGGTCTGGCAGCGGTGGACGCGGGCGGTACGTACCGTACGGTACGATGAGCATCGAGCCCTAATGGCACTTTCTTGAATGGATGACAACTGTAGGCATGCGGCGAGTGAAGCCACTAGTAAGGGTGTGTGTGCCTGTGTCTGTTTTTCTCTGCAACAACAGCATTGCCATTCTAGATGTTATTTGTTACCTTTCCTTTCAATATCTCTTTCCTCTGTGACGTATCACCCTCTATTTTTATCGCTCGATAACGCATGGATAGTTTACCCAAGTGTACTTTAGCCGATCCTTAATGTGCCCATTTCTCACCACAGTGATGGGAGAAGTGCAAAAGGGGAGGCAAAGACAAGACAAATGCAAGGCGGTGATGGCCGCATGTTGAATACACTTGGCAGGCGCTAAATCTATGTGCCGTGTGGTATCCTACTGTTCTGTGTACCTTGTTATTTCTTTTGCTTCTATCCCTTTCCATATATACATTGCCATTAGTATACTTTGGCAGCTGCCAGTGTACTGATAACAAAAAAAAAGCAGGAAACGTACAGAAAGACCACAAATGCGACCGACGCGTTGGACCCAACAGGCACGCCTTTTGGGGTGCCTTCGCGCACTACCGTTCGCTGCATCGTCGTTCCGAACAACAACATGCATGACATTGTCGTCCTCAACAATGCCGTGGAAGGCATCTGCTGATGTCGGGGCCCTCCGTCACAGTATGCGCTTTACATCGGCAAAGCTGGCACGCCTCTACACACTGGAGCTGAACCGTGTCCGAAGCGAGTACCGCCGCTCGCCAACAAAGGCGCAGCAAGAGGAGTGCCTCCGTGCGATCACGGAGACGCCACTGCACCGCATACAGGGTGTTGATGGCAAAACGGTGGCTCACTGCCTCTCCACCCTTGTCGTGCTTGACGCCCCGCACGACATGCCGCTGCTGCACGACTGCGCAGTGTGGCTCTCCGTGCATCCCGATGCCTTTTCACCACACGCGCTGGCCCAGTCGCTCTATGCGCTCGTGTGTTTGGGCTACCCTGACACTACCAACGTTGTGCGTGCTGTGCAGAAGCAGGCGCTGTCGGCCGCGAGCGATATGGCGCCCAGCAGTCTCTGCATGCTACTTGCCGCTGTGCTGACAGCGTGCGCCGGGGCAGACGGGGCGGCGCAGGGAGTTGTTGACGTTTCACAGAAGCTTTCTGACCGTGTCCTGCGCGTCCTCGGTGAGGGTTTGGGTCTGACGGAGAAGGTAATGATCGCCGTGGCGCTCGGCAAACTTCTCGCACACACAGTGCCACATGGCCTGCTCGCCGAAGACGCGCTGCAACAGATTTCCGCTAGCGTATGGGCGAGCGTGCCTGGGGCAGAGTTGGCCGTCGTGTCGCTGGCGGATCTTGTCGGCCTCGTCGCGGCCGTGCACACCGCACCGCAGTCTATCCGTGAGTCGGCAGAGGCGGCGCTCCTCGAGGAGCTCAAGAGACGCGTGGAGGCGCAGCCCCTCGTATCCGCGCGGAGTGCAGTACAGGTGTCGGGTGCACTCCGGCATGTTGTGCGCAGCACCCACCCATCGGCGGGTGCGGTGCTGCAGACGCTGGTAGACGCACTTGAGGCGCACATTGGCACCGATGCCGTCACGCTGGGTGCTGCCACAAAGATGCTTGCTGAGTTTGCGGCGGTGGAGGAGGCGGGCATTGCGACGCCGCCGTCGTTGATGCGGTACCTCGTGCAGGCTATTAACGAGGGGCGAGAAAAGTGGAACGCTGAGTCTGTGCATATCGTGCTGCGGGTGTTCGCAAGGAAAGAAACGCTGCGCGCCGATGCACAAGCCCTCGCCGCACATCGTGTGGAGCTTATTCAAGCAAAGTGTGGTGCCACTGCGCCAGTGGACGCGAGTGAAATTGCCGCTCTTCTTGTGGAGGGCATCGTCGACCCACATGCGGAGGTGCTGGCTGCCGCTGTTGCCAACAACATTGGTCGCTGGAGTGTGTCGAATGCCCTGACGTTTCTGCGCGCTGCCGCGGAGGTAGATGGAAAGCCGACGCGGGCAATCATGCGCGACGTGGCCTCGAAGCTTGTGCCGTACATGGAGAAAGCAACAGCAGCACAGCTGGCGGCTGTCATGTCGTCGTACGGGCGGGCACGTGTACGCAATGATGCCTTCTGTGCTGCCATCACGGACAGGACCGCACAGCTGGCGTCGGAGCTGACGCTGCATCAAGTTAGCAGCATTCTTGGTGGCCTCGCTGCGGTTGAATACCGTGACACCAAACTGTTTGTAGATCTTGCACCGCTAGTTATTGCGCAAGCACACACTGCCGACGTGGCGCAAACCGCCAGCCTCCTTGCGTCCTTTGCGAAAATGCTTGTATGGAATTTCAAAGTGATATGGACCCTTGCAGAGCGTGCAGCGGTCATCCACGACCAATTCACGTTGCCGCAGATACTTGCAGTTGTGATGTCTCTGAATCGTATGGACGTGCAGCACCAATCACTTATGGATGCCTTCCTGCAGAATGTCATGCGCTACGTCTCCCGCACCGACACCACAATTTCACTTGCGGAGACAGTTATGATTTTGAGTGCTTTTTCCCGTAGTGGGTTGTGGGACGCTGCCTTCTTTGAGAGTCTCGGCAAGCGCGTGGTGGCGGAGCAGGAGAAGCTGACACCTGATGAGCTTGCGGAGACACTCATGGCGTTTGCACGTGTTGGTCTTACGCAGTACAATATTTTTGAGGAACTCACACTCTGCACACTTTCAATGGCCCCCACCAGTCCACTTATGCCGTTGGCGCACATCACAGTGGCGTACGCCCTTGTCGCCTGCCGCCATGAGGAACTCTTTTCCATCATCGCGGACCGGTTTGTGAACCAGAAGGCCGACGTGCCGGCGGTGACTATCGCCTCGGTGCTGAGCGCCTTCGCTTCTGTTGGCGTTCGCAATGACCGGTTGTTTATTGAAGCCATTCCACGCGTGCGCCACGTTGGTCAGTACGGCACACCCAAGGACATTACCAATGTGGTATATGCCTACTCACAGGTTGGCTTGTGGCACTACAAGCTCTTTGTGCGGCTGGCAGACCGCGCGATCCAGCTGCGCGGCGAGTTTCGCTGCGACCACCTCGCACGACTGCTGGAAGGGTATGCGCGTGTGGACATGCGCTACGAGAAACTCTTCGTAGAGTTTTCACCGCGTGTTCAGACCATCTCGCACCTCCTCACGGCGGGCGAGCTGACGAGGATCGTTAGCGCCTACGCAAAGATAGAAGTCCCGGATGCCGCCGTGTTCAAGGCGTGTGGCGACCGCGCGGTGGAGCTGGCCGATCACTTTGAGCAAGAAGAGGCACAGCAGCTGCTCACCGCGTTCCACCGGGCAAAGATCGGCCACGATGGTGTAAAGGCGGTCTTCATGAAGAAGTTCCCGGAGGCGGTGGCGGCGGCGGCGGTGGCACGGATGGACGAAGAGGATGTGGCGGAGATGGAGGACGAGGGAAAGGAGACGCACGCTGCGGGAAGTGCGTCGGCAGCTGGTGCCCGGGTAGAAGATGGAAACGCTGCGGAAGAAAGTGGAAGGGGTGTCAGCGCTCAAATGGCAGGCGCATGAGGTGGGAGGGTATGAGTTGTTGTTGTTGTTGTTGTTGTTGCTCGTGCTTTCTCTTTCTCTTTCTTTCCGTCCCGTTGTGCGTGTGTGTTTGTTTGTTTGTGTGTGTGTGTGTGTGTGTGTATGTGAAGGGGTTGTATCTTCACACATTGTGGTTTCTGTTGGACTGAAGCAAGGAACGACGTCGCCAAAGTACATATTTACATTTAAAGATGAATGGTGAAGCCCAGATGAGATGTGTGCGCCATTCAGACACGTGTGGGTGTGCTATCCGTGTTTTATTGATGGGTATGCTTCTCCTCCTTGTTATTGTTGTTGTTATTGTTCTTCTTCCTCAGGTTGTCACTCTTCGCCCTACATCTCCTCTTTCTCCTGCCGTTGCTACTGTTTATATTTGTCTATAAGTGTGGTGGCGCGCAGAGTGTCAAGATGCCAGAAATGCGTGCGGGAAACGGCGCGCAGGGGCATCTGCTCTCGCGGCAGAAGCGGCCGGCGACGGTGGCGCGGTTTCTCAACAGCATCCCACTCAATGATCGTCACGCCGCAACCAACGCGCTACTCATTCTCGGGATGCGCGCGTACGGGGGCGCCGTCGCGGCGGCACCAGCAGATCTCCACACGCTGCGCGCCGTTGTCGCAATGGAGTTGGCCGAAGACGGCACCGGCACCGGCGCAGAGGCAGGAAAGAACAACAACGACCCCGTGCGCAGACGCAACACGCAGCTACATCAACCCATTAACGGAAATGATGGCGACGATGAAAGCGAGAAGACGGCGTTGCCATCCTTGCAGCAGCAGCGGCAGAAATCATCGGCGACCACGGTGACGCCCGCCGCTGCGGAAAAAAGAAGCACAGTTGGGGTGTCGAAGACAATGAGCGATGGTGGCCACGCCACGGTGTCGCAAAAAACAGAGGATCCGTCTTCAGAGAAAATGGTAACTGTAACAGACAAAAAGACTCGCCCTGTTGTAGCGAGCCCGTTAGTTGCGTCTGCAAGTGACTGTAGTAGTCGTGTTTGCTCGAGCAGACAGCAGCGGAACCACACGCCGGCGTTGAGTTTCATTCTGGGTAATGCGTTGAGCGGTGTCATGGCGCAGCGCAGCGCATCACGTCGCACTGGCCTTAATATCACCTCCACATTGGGCCACAACGGTGTTCACCCTGGCGATGATCAGTCAACAAACCACGATCTCTCTGTGTACGACGTCAGCGACGGTACAGTTGATGAACAGGGGAGCGCAATAGATGCGGCGATTGGCGTCTCCATCAATGGCACGATGCTGCCGCTAGAGAGCGATGATCACTACTATCCTATGGAATTCTTGCAGTGTATCAAGAGACATATAGAGGTCACCCGTGGCGTCCGCGAGAATACGGTTCTTGTCGCTGCGTCCATTCCACAGCATATGGCGATGTATACGCTGTACAGTAGCTTTGATGGCCTCTACCGAAGCCTCTTGGTATCGTACCATCTCTCATATGCTAATGGCAAAGGTTCTCCTCACAGCTGAGGGAACTGACCTCTTCGCCCTTTTCTTTTTTTGTGATTATATGCGCTTGTTTATTATAATCATAATCATAATCATCATCAGTGGTGTCGTCGTTATCAGCGTCATGCGATAACTTTTAGGCGTCTGGAGAAAGGGACTGTAACAAGGAAAAGTTACGATAGTCTATGCTTCTCCCCTAAATTTTGACTGCATCTATTAACGAAATAACCTGGTACGAAAGACCACAGGTAAATGACGGAGACAGCTGTAGAGAAAGGTAAGAAACCTATGATAACGCTCGTTACAGGTAACGCCGGCAAACTGCGCGAGGTACAGGCATGCCTTGCGGGGCACGTCGCGGTGGAGAGTGTCAAGATGGACCTTCCGGAACTGCAGAGCAAATCAGTGTTTGAGATCAGCAGAGAGAAGGCCCTAGTTGCTTACAAAAATTTGAATCGTCCAGTACTTGTAGAGGATACAATGTTGTGTTTTGAGGCGCTCGGTGGCCTTCCGGGGCCGTATATTAAGTGGTTCCTAGACGAAATAGGGCCCACAGGGCTTATCAAACTTCTCAAGGGTTTCGAAAGCAAGCGCGCGTACGCCACCTGCGTCTTCACGTACTGTGCAGGACCCGACATGATGCTGCAGTTCGAGGGGCGCTGTGACGGTAAAGTAGTGGACACGCCACGTGGCGAGGGCGGCTTCGGCTGGGACTGCATCTTTGAGCCGGACGAGGGACGTGGGATGACCTATGCTGAGATGCCAAATGATGAGAAGAACAAAATTTCACACCGTGCAAGGGCACTTGTGTCACTGAAGAAGCACTTTTGTCAGTAACGGCTTTTTTACTACTAGGCTCTCTTTGGTATCCCATTCTGTGAAGCATGTGGTTGTCTTGGGGTGTCTGTTTGTGTGTCACTTTTCCTAGTGTTGATTCCTCTCGCTTTCTGGCTCTTTTTTTGTGCTCAATAGCTGGACAGGGGCGCACACACACATATTTTACCCACGCGCATTTATTTCTACATGGCCGGCGGTTTCTCCCCTCCGTGTGAAGTGGACGTTGACGTTCAGCTACCGGGCAGTGAGCGGTGCCTGCGCATAAATGGTATTCCGATTACCAGCACTGTTGAGGAAGCGCTAACCCGTGTGTGGTCTCTTCTGAGGCTGCTAAAGCACTGCAGCTCCGCTTGCAGCGACACCAGCCGTAGTAGTAGTAGTAGTAGTAGTAGTAGGATTGGTGACAGTAATGTGTGGACTGTTTCCCGCTTACAGTGTGAAGCGGCTGCACGTGAGGAGCAGGTACGTCTTGCAGCAAGGGGTGTGTACCACAACGATGCCCCTGTCAGGCGCCACCCATCAGAATTCATGATGCTAACACTGCAGGGGGTTCTGCAGAAGTACCCAAACACGTTCGGCACCCGCAAAGGTGCTGGTGTGTTCATCATGGTGGTTTATGAAAAAGATGGGATGATGCCACCGTTCCTCATAAACTCTTGCGCGGAGCGGCGGCAGAAACAACAACTGCAGGAGGACCCGCTGGCGGCAACTCCACCGAAGGCAAACGCTGCGGTAATCACGCACGCACGTGAGGAGGCCCAGGAGGGCGATGACGAAAACGACAGCACTCCGCGTCTGCTTGGAGTCGTGGAGGAGGAAGAGATGACTGATGATGACGGCGACAACAACGCAAGGTTTGTGGGTGCATATATACTCTGCGGCGCCTAGCGACTCTCCCTCTCTGCCGTGCCCTATCGTACAGTACCCCTTTCCTGTTGCTGTGTCCCCAAATGAGAGTGCTGCTAAGCGCAGCTGTCCTTTTCGTATCTGTTTTTTTTCCGCATTTTGTTGTTGGCGCGCTTTCACTCGCGCGTGGGCACTGTCGTGTGTTCCTTTTCCATCATGAGCCTTGCTGTAGTCTCTGCGTTCTCTCCCTCTCTGCCGCCTGCTTCTGTAGCGACGAACAACAACAACACCAGGAAAGTGCCACGGCTTGAAATTCCAAATCCGCTGAGGGACAAAAAAATATATATATCACAACAAGACAACTAACTGCAGCAACAACAACATCACCATCGCCTCCATTATCATCAAAAAAGTTGAATAGGGAACGTGCGCAAAGCAGAAGCGAATGTCGTTCTTCTGTTCACGCCGGTCGAAGGTGAGGGTGTCGAGCAACAGAGAGCTCTCTATTACAGAGCAGCGCAAGATGGAGCTTCAGCGGCGCCGCGCCATGTCGTCGCAGAACAGCCGCGGCGGCAGCAAGGGCTGTCACGTGCCACCGCGGAGCAAATCGCTCGATGCATTTCGTCCGCCGCCAATTCTCGTCCCAGCTTAAAACGGAAGGCGCGCATGAAGGAGAAAGAGAGAGGGGAGAAGGAGAGTGCAACCCGCTGGGGTGCAAAGGAAGGCAAGGAGCACACAGTAACAACGTAATATATGTATGATGGTTGCTAACTGAGTCACATGGCAACTCTCCCTGGTGAAACAAATATAGAGGGGGAAGGTTACATCGGCCTTTGGTGCGAAGAGAAGGTACGTCGCCATAAATCTCTTCTTGTTTCTTTTCATCCTGTTATTCATTCTCTCAAGGTTTTCATTTGTCTTTCTTTTTTTCCGTTAGTTTTTTTTT